GAATAGTTCTTCCTTATGTACCTCATTTCACTTCCAACCAGTGTTCATTAATCAGTCATTTAAAGAAATATTTCAAATGAAAATGTCCCCACAGTAATCAATAAAGACTTAATTAAGCTTTTTAAATTAGAAAACATAAATTTAACTGGAGAGTCATGCTTATGCATTGATTCTACATACACCATTTGTTCTTTTAGGTGATATCTACAAGGAAGTTCCAAGTATTTTGGAGAAAACACACAGTACATACTGTATAGGTGGCAAATTTTCAAAATACTTTAAAATAATTTATTTTATAACATTAAATATGATTTTTATATAAAACAGCACTACCCAAAATTGAATTGTTTGCAGGTGAAATCCTTATCTGAAGTCTTTATTCAAATCTTTATTTGAATCACCATATTTCAATCACCATCTCTGCCTGTGTAGACAAAGAACACTAAAGAGAAAAATGTCTGCAACAGTTATTTGAAAATCCTGGTATTTTTTATTGGGATTAAATATGTCCATTTTCAAGAAATATATTTGTAATGTTGTCATAGTAAAAATATTCTGCAGCTGGTATGTATAGGAAGTTCTGGAACCTTCTGGGACAGTTTGGACTTTAAAATGTAGCCATATACTCCAGGCCAGACTCTGTTCTACAGGATGCAGCCGTTGGCAAGCAAATCCATTGAAAATAAAGATTTGCTGAAAAAAAGCAAAAATATTCACACAATTATAAGCATTTTGTTAGAATTTGATTGAAAAAGGGGAAAGGTAATGAATGGAAACAACAGAAAATGTAAAGGAATATAAAGAGCTCTAACATTAGGTTTGGTATTGTTTGTTTCACTAATAACAGGCCTGCCGAAATTTCTAGTTGTCTATGAAATACAGAATTACATCATTTAAAATTTTGGATATTGCTGTATTTTAACTCAAGGAGAAATTTTTACTGTCATTTTAAACTAAAGATCAGCTTTTGTAATGTTATTTATAAGATCCAAAATACAGATTGAGCATAATATAAAATATATAATATTCTTCTAAATCATAAAATTATAGTTGGTTTTAAATTTCTTTCAAACTAGCAGTCCTGAAATGAGAAAAATGATTCATGTAGCTTGTGAATAAGCTTATCTCATTTCTCAGCATTTCAGGGATAGCAAAGCTTTTATTTTCAACAGAATTATGAAGCTAATTGATAGGATTTCAAGAATATGAAAGAGTATTTTCATGATTCTTGTTCCTCAGAAAACATATTGCTTAGGCAAATAAAAAGTGCATGTCTGCATGGTAGATATGTCTGTCACTTCCTTGATGCTTAAATTAATCTTCAGGATCCTATTAAAACATTAGTTTAAAGAAAGTAGGGAGGTAATTCTATCATGCCCTTATTTGGAGAAATAACAAGATTTCCTACTAAATCTCCAGGACAATATGTCTACTTCAAAAATAAGCAGCAATGATAAATAAAATCACTTAATGCTTCAAAAACAGCATTGACCTCTGATTTTACAGCATATTATTTTTAATGACACATGTGAAGAGTAAATATTGCATAGTGAAAATAACTATAATTGTATTGTAAGTGCACAGCTGGTCTCTTCTTCTTTCTTTATTTTTATTTTATGGTCTGGCCTTTCATTTTCAAGCCCCTGCTCTTCCATGAGGGCACTTCTTATGTTCCAGGTTTAGTATTCCCGTTTCCATGTGCATGTACGTCTTTGCGCAGTCACCTAGATGTGCATTACCTTTTCTCTGCTTGGCAACAACGTTAGTTGTTAAACCCTATCCCCAGAAGGACCTTCCCTCCAGAGCCCCTTGATCTCTTCAAGCAAAGCCGATCTCTTCTCCCTCCCTTCAGAGTTATGGTTCCGCCTATTCTATAAGACACAGCACTCGTCCAACTGTATTTTAATATTTCCCTCAGTTTTCAGGCTTTCAGTTTCCAAAGAGCTTACTTTTAAAAATCATCTTTTAAACAGCATCCTTTCCTCAGGCCCGAGGCCTGGTCTTATCTAATAAAGAGTATAATGATAGTTTTTTTTTTTTCCATTTTTTTTCCTCGTGTTTTCCTACACACTTTCCCTGTGGTGAGCTGTGATGTATGTCTTTGATGCTGGAAATGTTCTCAGATGCTGATTCCCTCTTAGCCATAGGGCCTTAACAGTGCCGATGGGTGGCTGCCTGGGCAGGACTTGCCTCATGGCAGGTCGCTCTCCAAGAGCCCTGGCTGTTGCTACAGAGTGTGCTCCAGAAAGGCTTCTTAATCAGGGTTCTCAAAGCTCACCTAGTACATTTCCTCTAACCTCCCTATTTCAATAAAGTAGCTCACTTCCTGCCCTCGTTAAACCTGCAGCCTCATAATCCAGAGCCTCCCTGCTCAAGTTACACCAAGAACCTCTGCTGAACTCTGAAACCGAGAGTCAACTTCTCCTCCTCCTCTGTGTTGTCCTGTCCAGTCTTTTGGCCATAGTGATGCAAAAGTGACAAGAACAGGGTATGAGAGTGAGAAGACCTGCACTGGGGCTCTGGGAAGTAGACAGTGAGGGCAGAGCATGGCAGCTCATTGACCTATTGCTCTTCCCAGTTTAATCCAGGGACATGGCTTTCAAACACCATTTATGTGTTAATGACTTCCTGATCTCTTTCCAGTGCTTTGGACTCATATCTGCTTCTTCATGGTGTGGACATGGGCAAGTCTACAGTACACCTGACTATTAAAATTAGACACTGAATCCTGATTCTCCTTTAGTGCTCTACTTCATTTGCCAGCTATGGGAACTCAGCCTTTCGTTTGCTTAGAGAGAAAAAAAAAAAATACTTGAAATCCTTCTTGATTCTTCACTTTCCCTCCAAATGACATGTCCGATGATTTAGACAGTCTGCCTGGTTCTGGTTTTAAAAGACATGCCAAGGAGCATCCCCTTTTGCTTCTGCACCCTTCTCTCCCATCTCCCTGGGCTCCCGACTCTCACCTCTGTTTGTTCAATTGCATGGTAGATCCTCCTGCACTTACCTGATCTCCTCTTGAATATTTAAAAATAGGAGCAGAGTGATCATTTCAAAAAAGTAAGTTAAAAGTCCAGAGAATATGGAGCACTTTTCTACCTCTTTCCATTGGTACAAATATCAACACTGCAAATGACAGAAGAGACCCACAGAGATTAACACTGACAAGCTGAAGGAGAAAGGGAATCTGAGGCCTCCAGGACTGGAAGACCAAGGGTGTCTTATGACCTACTGTGCCCCGGGCTTTGCCTCAGTATGGAAGGCAGCCTGGGCCCAGCATTTTCAGATGGTCAGCCTAGAATAAAGATGTCACCTGAAGGCTCTTTTCTCCCAGGAATCAAACAGTGGTCCCCCAAGAACACAAGGAACACAGCATCCCTGCAGGCCAGCACTCTCCTGAGCAGTCTCGGGTGCCCACCCTCCAAGCTGAGAGACAGGAAGTGGTGGCATTGGCCAACAGTGAGGAGGGCATCCAGGGAATGAGCACCTGGCCAGTGAAGTCTCCTTGCAAGGGCTACTGGACACTCCCATCCCCCACTGGGGACCTCAGAGTGACTGCTAAGGGGGTGATGAAGTGAAATTATTTGGATGTACAATTCTGTGAATAGACTGAAAGATGTAGAATTGCCCATCTTAGGTGAGTGAAATATATTGAATGTAAATTATAACTCAAAATATCTGTTGAAAAAAACACAATGACACATAACTACACCGCTATCAAGTAACTAAAATAAAAATAGCAATAACAACAGATACTGTAGAGAAAGTGTTTCATTTATATATTTATAGTGGAGATATAAAACAGTACAGCCACTCTGAAAATAGTCTGATAGTTTATTCCAAAATTAAGCATGTGTTTAACCATATGGAAGAACAATTGCACTCATGGTCCTTGATCCCACAGAAATTGAGATTTACGTTTACATTCGCAGCTATAAATAAACATTCCACAGCTCTGTTTATAGAACCCCAAACTGGAAACCACCCAGAGTCCTACTATGGGTGTCTGATTAATCAAGCCAGACACAATCAATAAAAATGAACTGTGGAAATAAGGAGCAGCTTGGAGAAGCTCAAGAAAATTATTATTAATAATTTTTTAAAAAGCAGTCAGTTTGAAAATGTTACATAATATAAGATTTGGGCTGGGAATGTGGCTCAAGTAGTAGAGCGCTCAGCTGGCATGCACGGTGCGCTGGGTTTGATCCTCAGCACCACATAAAAATAAAATAAAGATATTGTGTCCACTGAAAACTAAAAAATAAATATTAAAAATTCTCTCTCTCTGTCTCTCTCTCCCTCCCTCCCTTCCTCCCTCCCTCCCTCTCCTCTCTCTGTATCTTAAAAAAAAAAAAAAAAAGATTCTACTTATGCATCATTCTTCTTGAAATGACAAATTTTTGAAATGCAGAACAGATCAGTGGTTGCCAGGGGCAGGGAAAGTGTGGGTGGGCTACAAGGTTGATTGTGTCAATATGAAAGGACATTATAAGGAATCTTTGTAGCATTGGAATTGTTTATTTTGGCAGGTTGTAAAAATACAGAACAGCACACGTGTTATCACATTACACAGAGCTAGACACCCACATACGCACCAAATAAGTGCCATTAGCCTGGGGAAGTAAGACAAGATCAAGGACTCCATGCAGGGCACCTTCCTGTTTGTGACATTGTGCTGTTGTTCAGGTGTGAATACTGGAGGTACTGTGCAAAGGGAATACGGAGCCTCTCTATTATTTTCAAAACTGCATGTAAACCTACTATTTTCTTAAGATCCAGAGTTAAGTTTAAAAAAAGAAATCAAGTTATGTTTAACTTGAAAAAGGTTTACGTGGGTTCCATTCCACTCTCACATGGGCATGTTGCCCTCTGCAATTGGGCCCCCTCTGCTCCCAAGCTCCACTCACTGAGCACTTGTTCGAAGTCTAGCCACAGGCTAGTGCACAAGCTTGCTAAACTGCAAGCCTGCTGTCTCTGAACAGCATGCTCTCCTTCCACAGATGCAGATGACTTGCCGTCCTTGCTAATTTGTGCCTGTGATCCAATCTCACTCTTCAGTGAGATCTATGGGAAACAATTCCCCTTTCGATGTCAATATTGGCATTCCCTACAGGTATGTATTATGCTCCACTGGAGGTAAAAATCAGCAGACAATGCTGAGGCTTTCCTTGTGGGTGGTGGTTAAAGGGCAAGCTAAGGGAACCCTCAATTACCTATGGGGTTGCTTCCATTAAAGAAGGCTGAATTTGAAGATCACCTGTCTGACACAGGAGCATTGGAACCCCCTTCCAGCCCAGGGACGGATAGAGACCCCCTGAGTTTATTCCTGTAGTCTGCAGGCTGAACCTCAACTTTTTGTGTTTTCCCCACAGCCATCTATAGTTTGACCATAAACTTAATTCTAAATCTACCTCTTGATCCTTTCTTAAATTTTGTCTGAGGATGAACTGTCTCCTCCCAGAATGCAGCTGATCCTTCCCCATCAGCACAGTGCTCCTGTGATTTCTTATTGTCCCTGTTTACCAAAATCATCCCTGCCCCTTGAAGATAAGATCCAAGGTCTTAAGAAGTCTGCCCTGAATGCCCAGCTGGATGTGATCTTGGCATGGCCCAAGCTACATAGTGTGTCATTTGCTTCCCTGATATGGAGCTTCCTGTTATATAGTTATCTGGATGACTTGGGTGTGCTTTAGTCGCTATCATATGATTATCATCTTAAAAGCAAAGCCATATATAATGTGATATATATTTATGTGTTTATTTATTTTGATCCTGGAAATTGAATCCACAGTTGCTCTATCACTGAGCAACATTACCAGTCCTTTGTTTATTTAAATTTTGATACAGGATCTGGCTAAGTTGGGAAGGTTCTCACAAAGTTGTTGAGGTTGGTCTTAAACTTGTAATTCTCCTGCCCCAAGTCACTGGGATTATAGTCATGCACTCTTGCATTGAATTATCTGTAAAGTAATGAGTGACTGACAAAATAGAAACCCCTATTTAGCTTAAATGGGTGAGCTGGAAAGTTTTGTTGTATTCATGATCTATTTAATCAAGTTGCTTTATAAAATAAACACATGTCAATATTAAACCAAGTGATTATTTTGAAATTATTTGATACTAGAGCAGTATGTGCAGTCTGAATAAATCATTCACACAGTTTGCATCACTCCTTTTCAGGATGGAAACTATTTCCCAGACCTTACATTGTCTCATCTATCATTTTTCCTTCATCTGGGACCCTTTGTTAATCTCCCTCTCTGTCTTCAATATTCTTGAAGAGTGCAGACCTTTCCTTCCATAGGCCTAGCCTCAAGTTTGTCCTCTTGAATGTCCTCAGCCTAGACTCAGATCCCTCCTTCTTGCAGGAGGACAGGTGACAACGAAGCTCAGCTCTTATCAGGGTACTGACCAGTCCTTACCCACGTGATATTTAAATTTATTACCTGGTCAAGTTGGCCAAAATGGTATCTTTCAACTTTTACCAATAGAGATTCACCATTTTCCTCCTTTAATGTCTGGTATGGGAGGATATTTTGATACTTATAATGATACAGATGAGAATCATTGGAGCATGTTAATGGCTGCATGTCATAATAGCTTCATGGGGCATTTTAATTTAATGTAATTTGCCATTGGTAGGTATTTCATATATCAACTGCATATGCCAGCTATCAGTGAAGAGTTCATGCTGCAATTCATTCTCATGATAAAATAATGTTTGCCACTGTGCTACAGGACATCCAAAAGCCTAGAACCAGAGATTGTGATTTATGTTTTGTGAGGTAGAAGAGTGGTGGCATCTACATGTTGATCTTTATGAAAGTGTTCACAGAAAATGCACAAAGAAAGACTTCACAAGGAAAGGATGTCTCTGTGTGTGCCCTGGGCAGCAGAGCATCTGGGTGTAACATGAACAGGTGGCTCCGCATTCAACGGTAACGTGGTTTATGATTGTACTTGCCTTGCGTTTATTTCAGGATGAAGAGAGTCCAGAAATCCTAAGGGATGAAGATTTCCAAGATTACATGTCTATGGAAGATGAGAGACCTTGTTGTCTTACAAATAATGACATGCTGTTTAGTCACTCAGTGGAGAAGGGTGAGTTCACACTCAACAAGACCCCAGATCCTCCGTGTGTGAGATACACTTGCTTCCAGGCTGAGGACCAGGTCGCCTTCCCTTCTCTTTTCTCCTGCAGCTCTAACATGAATTATATATTGTCTTATTTTCTTGTTCAGACTGGCTGTGGTTTCCTATAAACTACACAACATTTCATAGATTTGTTAAAGCTGCCCTAATATGCACCAACTCACTCTGCTTCTTTTTTCCCTATCATTTCTGAGAAAACAAAAGGTAAATAAGAATTTTTATCTTACTCTACTCTTTTAATGTGGCCTAACTTCATATATTGTACTAGCACTTCTGAATTTTGTTTTATAAATGTTATTTTATAATCTACTGGGCAATATTCCTAATACTCAAATATTTCTCATGCTAAAAAAATCAGACAAATGTGTCCAAGTAAAGTCACAAAAGAAGGAAATCATGGGAGATGTTTAATATGTAAATCTCATTTAAGCATAACAAATAATTAGTATATCTTCAGATTAGAGTGGATAATCCCATTAGCCAGTGTTTCTTAGCACTCTCTGCGCTTTTGTCTTCTCATGTTAACAAGTTTAGGAGACATCACATAATTATACTTAGGAAATTGCAAATGAACAGCAACAAAAGACCTAACAAACAACATTCATTGTCCCACTTACTTAAAAGAAAATAAAGGCAAATAAAAAGTGGATATCAGCTTTTTCATAAATTTAGTTTGGTAGTTCATCATTCCAAAAAATCACCCATATTTCTAAATTATTCAATTCATTGATATAGGTGTTACTTATTTTGAATGACCTTGTATTATATAGAGTTAAAATCTAAATTTTTCCTCTTTAATTGAGTATTTTGCATATCTGTATACACATATAGTAATTATACAACTATGAAAATCATGTGACTTGACATAATTAAGTCTATAAATATATTGTAACATAACCATATTTTGTAGTTGATATATGTTATAGAGTATAATATACATATGTGTGTTATAGAGTATAATATATATATATATATATATATATATATATATATATCAGTGAAGTCATGTTTGTGCCTATGCAAAAAACAAATGTATTTAAAACAAAATGTACTTAACTATAAAGGGGACCTAGAAGACAGTCCATAGATGCAGTGTCTGAAGGGCCACTTGCCTCAGAGGGGAGTGGGAAGATTTCTGGAGACCACACCTGTCCTGAGTTGGTCTCTGCACTCTCTCCAGCCGCCGCCTGCTCTCTTGCTGTAATCTCTCCCTTTATGTCTACTCTCTAGCTCACTTGCAGCCTCTGTCTTCCTCTCCTACTTTTCTTTTCTTCTCTGTTCTTTGTAGTGGAAGCAGAAGCAGGTCTGAAGCTCTTCCTTTTAACCTGCTCCCATTTTCCCTGGAGAGAATGTTAGCCCAGTGAGCCTGGGGGCGGGGCCGCTCTCCCCAGTCAGCTGATGCAGAGAAGGAGGGGAGTTTATCTAGGACAAGGAAACCCTGAGGGTGCTGTCCTGTGAAGTCCGCTGTGTGCACACCTCACACAAGAGGGGACACACTCAATAGAGCCCCAGAAGCATCCAAGTTCTGTTGACCTTAAAATATTTCCCCCAGAAAATAGGAACTGATGTTTTTCTCTTTAAATTATTTCCATGCGATGCCAACCGCAGGTCTCAAAATTATTCCTTTGAATTCATGATTGTCTTAAAATTCTTTAGCAGTTCATTTTTTTATTAATGTGAAAGTAGCATTTCTTTCTAAATAAATAATTTTATGCAGTTATGGATAACAAATTCTGTCTTCCTCAGCACATTTTGTTTTAAAACATTTCTTCTACATTGTCATCAAGACTTTTGGAATGTCTTTGTTCTTTCAAGATTGCATTTTCCGTATTTTTAATCATTAACATCAGTAAGAAAAATAATTATACATTTATACATATTTTCTTGTCAGCAGTGGGTGTCTTGTTCAGGGCCTTGCATATGCTAGACTAGTGCCCTACTCCTGAGTTACAACCCTAGCCCCAATAAAAACTGTTTAAATTTAATTTACTGAAGTTTTACTATGTGACTGTGAGTGGCCCAAGTTGCTTCCTCTGTAGAATTTATTCAATCATGACATTATAGGTTGGGTACAATTATTACATCCTGTTTTTAAAAAAATTTTAAAACAATCTACCCGTGGATGTACATTTCTACTCCTTTCTCAAATGTACCAAATTCATAGGCTTCTTTATTAGAAACAATAATACAGAAATGCAAGTATTTTCTCCAAGTAAGTATATAAAAAGTGACAATCCATTTCATACATAAAATGGTCAGTATTGAAGTAATGCACTGAAATTCCCAGGGGACAATAGCTAGTGTGTCTTTCTGGGATCCAGCACAAGTATATGTCTCAATATTTTATATTTATGAGATTTTTTAAAGCTGAGAAAACAGTGAGCAACCGAAGTTTAGTTTTACCAACCATTGCTATTTTGTGTTCTACTATCCAAGAATTGTTTCCATCTCAAAGGTGACATGGATGTTCTCAGTGTGGGCAGTACTGAGCAGGAAGGGAGATCTCCACCAGATTGTTCTCCCAGAGTCAAAATCTGGAGTTGACTATGTTTTTTTAAAAACCCCATGGTAAAATCTAGTTTCTCCATAAATATGGAAGCAAATATACTTTAGATTTATAATGAAAAAAATTTTAAAAATAAAAGACCAACAAAATTGAAACTTCTTAAAATTAAAAAAAATCCTCTAAGATTCACACATATATTGGTTATTAGACTTTTTTTTGCAATTTTTTTATTATTATTGGTTGTTCCAAACATTACAAAGCTCTTGACATATCATATTTCATACATTTGATTCAAGCGGATTATGAACTCCCATTTTTACCCCGTATACAGATTGCAGAGTCATATCCGTTATACATACTGCCATACCAGTGGCATATGTTGTATTCTGCTGCCCTGCCTATCCTCTACTGTCCCCCCCCCTCCCTTCCCTCCCCTCCCATCTTCTCTCTCTACCCCATCTACTGTAATTCATTTCTCTCTCTTGTTTTTTTTCCCCCTTTCTACTTTTATCCATATGTGATTTAGGTTTCATTAGTATTTTTTAAATATGAGACTTTGGAAAACTTGGTAAACAGAAAACAGAATCAAAGCCCTCATTTTTAGTTACAATGAAGTCAGGTTGAGATGACTAAGATACAACACTTTCAGAAAGCTGGTCGGTTGCTTATAGCCGTACGATGAAGGGGAAAGCCTGGAGAGTCAGGAGAGACCACTAGAGACCGAGAGTTCTGTTCACCAGGGTCATTCATCAGGGTCCCAGACAGCGATGTGACAAATCAACCTGACGATATTCCTTTCCATTGGGAGGCAAAGTTTTATTTCTGGTGTTTCATGATCCTGTTGCCATCAATTAATTTTTGTTTGCTTTTGTCCGAATCCCAACAGCCTTGTCTTTGTACAAATGCCCTCCTGGCTCCTGAGATGCTTTTTCAACTGGTCCCCTCCTCTGTATTAAGTGAAGTTGGTGGGGGTTTTCTTTCATGGTCTGAGCCACTGGTGAAATCCGAAGGCAAATGAACAAGGGAGAATTATTCTCTGGTGGGTTAGAAATGATAGAATATATGGTTTACTGATCTACTCATTGGTTTATCTGCCTGATTCTAAACTCAAATCAATTAAGAAATCTATGCTGATGATTAGAAAGTTCTCTGAGGTCTGAACCAGGCTTTCTGCATTTCTTTTGTTAATGCATGCACTTATATTTACTGTCATATTTGAATTCAACAAAAAGTCCATTTTTTAAAATAAAGTCTGTAGAGCTTTGAAAATTGTACACAATCATGTGAACATGCTAATAATAAACAGTTTCCTTTTTCCAATTGCAGTCAATCTATTTTTACTATCCTTGACCCAGGAAGCTATTGATCTATTTTCTGTTTTCATGGGTCTTTATTTTTAAGAATTCTAAGTAAATTGAATTATATTGCACATCATCTTTTGTGTCTGACTTTTTCAATTAGCTTAATATCATTTTATATAGAATATATACATTTATATATATACATATAATATATATATTTATATTAATGTTTTGTTCATTTGTACTTGTAATATTTTATAGCATTGAGGAATAGCAACTAGGTTATATAGGCTCAATAACTGTTGGACATTTTGATTCTCTCCAGTTTTTGGCATTTAATAACAATGTTGGTACTAATGTTTAACTGTTCATCTTCTTAAGAGACCAAAATTTCTTTTCTCTTGGGTGAAAACCTAAAGGTGGATTGCTGGATTAGATGGTATGTGTAGATTAAGTTTTACAGGACACTGCAGTCCTGTTTTCCAATATGCGTTTACCATTCTGCTTTCCCACTAGAACCATAATATTGCTCCAGGTGCACTGTATTCTCACCAATGGATTTGGCACCGTCAGTATTTGTTTTTGGCAACTCCAGTGGGTCACTAATATGTGGTTTTTCAGCTTAAGTTTACAAGTCTCTGATGACTAATTATGTTTAACATCTGTTCATGGCATTTGCATACTTATTTTCTGGTGTATGAGCTCAAAAATTTTGAACATCTTTCTAATGGTTTGTTTGTCTTATTACTTATTTTCAATGTTATTTATAGCTGTTGGATAGTAGCCCTTAGATGTGGGTTTTGCAATTATTTTCTTTTGCCTCAAGTTTTCCTAAATCTTTCACAAAGAAAAGACTGCTTTAAATTTTTTATGAAGCATATTTTTAGACATCTTTAAGTAGTGATCCTTTTATATGTCATGTTTAAGATATCATTATGTAACCCAGACTCAGGTAATGTTTGATGAATTAGTTCTTGCATTTAGTTTTAGGAATTGTGTTGTCACTTTATATGTAGGATTATAGGTATGATGTGAGGTCAATTAATTTGGTTAATATAAAACCAAATCTGTAGATTGATCTGGGGAGATTACCACCTCAAAAATATCAAGTCTTTCAATCTATGAACATGGCATATCTCTAGGTTTAATTTTTAAACATTGCCTTCAAATATTTGAACTTTTCTTGTGCAGCGATTATAAAAGATCTATTAAACATATTCTTGAGTGTTTCTAGGCAGGTTAACACTTTTGGAATCTAATTTTACATTTTATTTTGTGTTTTTCTTATTAGAATATAAGATTTCAATTGGGGTTTGTGTGTTAACCTTGACCCTTCTATCCTCGAAAAATTTGCCTATTATTTCTAGCAATTATTTTAATCTTTAATCTTTAGGAAACTAAGACATTCCTCGCTACTTGGTTGTCCTTTGGTTTGGTTCTAACCCTCTTCCCCTGCTGGGTTTTGCTCCATAGAACCTCTAGTACAATGTTAAATTGAAGTGATATTAAAAGCCATTTCTTCCTTATTTAGGTAAGTATTATGGAAACTCTCCATTTGGGTGGGTTGGTAGTTGAATTTTTCCATCAATGAAGATGAACATTGTCTTTCAACCCTGTGTTAGTGGCAAACTATCTGATTTTATCAGCCAGGCACAATGGCACATGTCTGTAATCCCAGTGGCTTGGGAGGCTGAGGCAGGTGGATTGCAAGTTCAAAGCCAGCCTTTGCAAAGGTGAGGCACTGAGCAACTGAGTGAGACCCTGTCTCTAAATAAAATACAAAGTAAGACTGAGGATGAGGCCCAGTGGTTGAATGCCCCTCAGATTAATTCCTGGTAAGCATAAAAAGAAAGAGAGAAAGTGATTAATTTTATCAAATGCTAAATCTGC